GCAATGACTTGTATGTCTCTCTCGTGTTAATAGTTTCTTTTTGTAAAGATCTGTAATACAACGTCCGAGAGTCAATATATATTTTCCACGTTTTGAGACACCAAATACTCATGGAAAGCTTTCTAAACTTCCCATATTGTACCTAAAGTATACACTCCCCTCCATCCAGTTGTCCATTTTAGATCAAGTGAGCCACGAATCGTTTGATCTAGAACCAATGTCTCATACTATTGCATTTTTAATTTTTGTTTTCTATAAATCATATATTTGAAATTTGGTACGTGACATAATCCCAATGGGGCGCACATAAAAAATATATTAAAAAATATTCTTGATAAAATAAAATGACCAAATACCTCAGAAAGTGACTAAATACCCCTAAACGTTTCAAGGGTATTTGGTTATTTTATTTTATCAATATTATTTTTTTAGCATGTGTAAGTTCAAGAGAGGAGTAGATGCCCAAAATTTGGTGTCAAAATGTTATATAAAAATAAAAAATAAAAATAGAATAGTGTAGAGGCATAACATTGGGATTAGGTCCAACTCTGTCGTTCATTCAGATCAGACGGTTGGATAGGGAAGCTAATTTTGAGCATACACTCCGTCGTCCATTCAGATCGGACAGTTGAATAGGGTAAGTATAAATTTTTTTTCAAATACTTGTAATCATAACATAAAGCTAATGAAGATCGAGAAAGTTTAAAATGAATTTGCTATTGGCACGTGTGCTGTTGAAGCTAATGAAGATCGAGAAAGTTTAAAATTACCATCGCCCTATTGTACCATTGCCCTGTTAAGCGATTAGGTAAAAAATACATTTTGACATATTTAATCAAATTGAAAATTGAAAGAGACTTTTTTTTTTTTTATCATTTGATGGTATTAATTATTTTATGGCTTTTAAAATTTCTATTGCATATTCTTTTATTTTTTTTGGTTTCCGTTTTTTGTAGTCACGAGCATTTAAAATCCTCCTTAATTTTTTTTATACAAGCTCCTATTCTAATTAAATTGTTTTTACAAAATTGTGATTGAGCGAAAACTTAAAAGGGTTGGTTTGTATAAGGTTGAGCCCCTAAAGTATCCAAGTAAGGTGCACCTTCAAATAGCGTCGATAGTTGTTGTCTCCGAATTGAAAATCTTTGTGATAATTTAAAAATTTATATATATCTCTAATTATAAAATTTAAAGCTTAAAAAATATTGTAGATCGAGCAGATCTATGAACACTTAAAAATTTGAAAATTGACTGTCCAAAAAATACATGACAAGACTCACTATATCTTATCTCTTGTCCATACATCTTGAGGCCGAGATGATCGATTTGAGGATTTTTTGGCATCAAAACAACTTTTTCTAGTGAAGTTTTGAGCTAGGCATTAATTTCATTGTTTAGGAGTTCACCCTTATATAAACCTTTTCCATACTTAAAATAACTTCGAGTGAAAATGGACGTGATTATTTTTGGCACCTTTATCATTGGATTAGATAACAAATCAGATGAATTTAAGTGAAAAATTTGATAGATGAAAGAGAAATTTCACAGACAAAAAATAGAAGTGGTGTTATATAAAAGTCACTCCTTTTCTTTCTCCCTTTTTTTTTATTGTTATATATAGGACAAGCCTTTTCTTTCTGTAAATAGCTGGCATAATAGTTTTGGATAAGTTTTGTATTCCTTTTTTGTTTATGTAGATTAATAGAGACATCATTTGTCACCCGTGAAATGATATAAGGAAAGAGTAACTAAACCATACATAGTGATATCACTCCTGGGCGAGGGGGGCTCATCATGGTGGTAGCATTCTCACACCTTACTCACCACGTTGTAGTTTTCACTCCCACTGATATCACCCTATAAACACTTAAAAAAAAAAAACTAACTCCTAAACTATTTGAAAAATTAGATGTTTCATTCCCATTGATATCACCCTACAAACACTTCAAAAAGCCTAACTCCTGAATTATTTGAAAAATTGGATAGAGGCATGTCTTCCCCACTGAATTAGCCAAAAAGAGGAAAAAATGATATCACTCCTATTTTCTTATTCCATTATTTTTTTTAAAGTATTCTTATTATTATTCCATTATTTTATATTGGAAGATATGTACTTCAATGTTTCTTCTAGTCCTATATTTTTTTTTCTTTTTGTTTTAACATGTTAATAGTGGGAATGGAATAGGAGACGTTATGTTGAGGCACTAGCAATTCTACATTGTTCCCATGGCCTATTGGTTACCACTCTTATCTAATTGTCAATAAATTCCCACTACATTAACTTATGTGGCATTTTTTCTTCTTTATCATTCTTTTTCTTAAGGGTTTTGTTATATTCTTGGTGTCATGTTTCTTTTAACTAATAGCAGTGTTTTAAAACCCAGATCGGTTAGGCAGATTGTTTGCCTACAAATCCGCATCAAATTACTGGATTCGTGATCCGAATCAGGTCTAGATCTGTCTTAATTGGTAACAAAAAATATCAAAAATAAATAAAATTAAATAAAAATAAAAATAGGAGTTTATGTCTTGAGGATTAAAAGGGACCTAAAAAAACATTATACAAGCTTAAGAAAAAAAAAAAACTATATTTAAGAAAGGGTTTTAGGGGGAACCAGACCAGTACCCATGCTAACTAGAATTGGTTTGGTCTTAACCGATTCCTAACCGAATTGATGATCTGGATAAAAAATCGTTAAGCTTTAAAACAATGAGAGCTTAGTTGATAATTTGAATGTGGAACCTCCTTGGAGGTGGAAGATCTAACCACCTTCAAGGTGGAACTCCCAAATTTTGCTTTTGATAAGCTCCCTAGAATTTCTTAAAAGTTTGGGAGCCCGATAAGGTGTATGGGATATTGTCTCCACTCACTATTTGCACGTATGTTTTGTAGAAATCAGCGTCGTTGTTTCTCCATTGAGACAAAGTTCCCAACTTGGGTTATTTGCAGAAGGACGAAGCAGTAATTTATGAAGAACAAAAAGATTAAGAATATGAAGTTTTGAAACTGTAAAATAGGCAGCGAGACTAGGGACCTTGTTTTGGTTTCAAGAAAATTTGAAAATCAAACAAAGAGAGAGAGATAAAAATAAAGTTTACCCGTAAACAACACAGAAAAGAAATACTTCACCTCAATTACAAGAAAAGAAAAAAAATATTAACCCTAAAACCTTGCAACTCTTAACACAAAAGTAGCTACAGGAGCCACGTACATGTATAAGAATATTTTCATAAACATCACCTCCATCACAAAGCCCTTCATACTAGAGCAGGTTCTCGATGGTGCCGTCAATCGCTTAAAAGAATGTAGTGAAAAGATTGAAGGAAGAATGACCTGTGACTCGACTTGCTTCATCAGGCCACCAAGACTGACTTCAACAACATAGATCTAAATATAAAGGAGGGATAGGGGGTTTCGAGTGTACTCGGGTTTAGAGAGCGAATGAGGGAGAGCATTCAGTTAGGGAGAGAATATGGGGCCTTTGAGTTGGAAAGAGAGCTATGGGTCTAAGAGAGGGAAAAAGCTTTTTAGAGACTGTGTTTGGGGGGGTGACAAAAGATTGGGAAAGAGCTTTCAGTAATAGAAGAAGATCAGATAAATGTTTGAAGGAGCTTTGGCCATGATCCCTAGGTTAGAGAAGCTCTACCCATGACATCTCTCCAAAGAGAGAAAGAGATAGAGGCGAGTAATTTGTGGATTCCGAACAACGATGGTGGCTGAACCTAATAAGATAGCACTTACAACTCAAGAAATAATAAGTAGTGGACTTGAAAACCCCCAATCATTATGCATAAATGAGCGGGCTTCCATCGCAGGGAATGAAAGCCGATCGCAGCCCATTTTTGGACGTGCCTAGATGGGCAATATTCCATGCATATCCAAATTGTAAAACGCGGTTGATATGGTTTGGTGGGACTTTTGCCTCCCACTTGCTAAAAGTCCCATCAAACTAACATGTCCTGTTTGAGTTTTTAACAAACATGTCATAAATGATAGGAAATGATGACACAGTTTTTTCTTTTCACTTTTTCTCCTCCCATTCAAATCCAAGCTCTCAACCTACCTTTGTGCTTTTTTCCATCCAAATGGATAAAAGCAATAAGTGACAATAGGTGCGCACGAACTTAGGGAAAATATTTAAATTGGAGAGTTCCGAAAGTAAATGCAACAAAAAAACAAGGTTCTCTTAATATTTGTATGGATATCTTTTTCCCATATATGAATGAAAATAAAAAGATCTCTCCAGAAACAAAAGACGAAAAATAAATAATAGAAACAAAATACCCAAATCCCCTTTACCGGTGTGAGCCAGTTTTACAGCGACCCGTCCTTTGTCTACAAAATATGGAAAATAATTAAATAACTAAAGAAAACGAATTCATATTCCTAGGGGGCCATATTGTGTGTTCACTCTCTCATGTAAAACCCAATTTAGAAGAATTTATAAAACCTCAAATTTTACGGATGTAATGTTTTCAACCAATGGCTGACTTCAAATAAATAATTTTGTGGTAATCTAATTTTTGAAAGGTAATATCAAATTTTCTCGAAAAAAGAAAGGTAATATCAAATTATCATATAACTCAAAAAAAAAAAATATTTTTTTTGCACAAATAATGATCTAATAATTTTTAGATGGTTCCCAAATTTTCAGATCAAGAAAATCTTCTCAATACCTGAGGAAGTGATTGTACAATGTAATCTAAGTTCATAACTAAATATCATCGAGTTGCTCAACGCAAAGTTTGATCCAAAGTAATTGTTGCATACAACCATCTGCCTCCAAAGAAAGATTATTATACATAATAAAATTTATAATTTTCTTAATAAATAACAATTGTACCAAGGTGTCATTATAATACTACCACTTGTTAAGCATGGTTATTTCCAAAACTTGTTAACCATATGTCAACCATACCTTGGATAGCTTAAGAGCTCTATAATTGTTCCCGCATATCAAGTGTCTTCATTCTTTTTTTGAGCCAGGGCAGCACAAATGGACACAAAATGAAATGTTTAAAATCTGAACAATGAAAACCATCCATACAATTTTAAAATAATCACACACAAGCCATCAGAGTACATAAGACCGTCGTTAAAATTTGAACGAGTTGAATATTCCACCACAAAACTTTCTCGGGAACTTGCTATAATCTGGCTGGATTCCTTCTATTTTCGATTCTTCAAATCAGACCCAAGAAACGAAAGAAGAAAATAGTGAAGTCGGAAGTTTAGAATCATTTAAAAGTCCTAGTGTCTCCTAAGGAAAAGGCATATGCACAGGTTGCCTTTTCCTATGGGTATAATAAAGGTGTTCTCAACCAAAAATACAATACAACTTCAGTATTCCTTATTCCCAAAGTTCTTGCACCACATTTGTGATGGAATCGGGTGAACAGGATGATGAGGGCGTTGCTGCAACAAAAATAAAAAGAATGAGCTCCAACATAAAATGAAGGGTAAAAGAAAAATCAAAAGTTACATTGAAGTCTTGCTCTGAAGACTTCAATGTGATCCTAGCTTTATATGCAAAGATTCAAGCATGGAAGGCTTGCTTTCAAGCCATGTCATGAGCATTACTATCACAAGATAGCTCAGAAGTACCCCAAACATTACGATCATGTAAAAGATATGATATTCAGGTAATTTCAGCAGATTGTTCATCAGTAGCACCATTTTCAACTCCAGCAATCAAGCCAACAATCACTTTTGACTACATGAGGACAGAAGGTTGGAACCAAGGATAACATAACTGATGGTGGACACTAAAACCATGAGATCTCGCATTCAAGAAGGCCCTAATTTGGAAAGGAGTTAGAGAAGCTGTTTTCCAAGCATTATGAAAGGAAATATCGGGCCACAAAAGCAAAGATAATGCTACCTGATAAGAGGACATCTTTATAAAATAATATCATCCATCTTTGGCTGTTCAAGAATAGGTAGCTGAGTTCTGCAAATTATCGGAGGTCCACATGTCTTCCCCATCACTAGTGCCGAGAAAAAGAAAAACTGACTGTTTCCAGCAAGACAGATGAAGCCATATCCACCTATTGAAGCCGACGAAAAGCCAAAGTCATTGATTTCTCGGATGGAGCTTGCACCAAGTCAGGCGACGAAGGGTCAGCCATCAAGGCTCAAGCCACCTCAGCACGCTTGAAAGAACGGCATCTGCTTTGTATCTCCCTCATGGTGGTGATTTGGTGTGGGCTGCTGTTGGACTTTGCTCGAATGAGTCATTTCCACCAAGATTAAGGGAGAGAAACTCATCCATTGAAGCAGGCTTGGAGTTCGAAGTTCAGACCCTACTATTGTTGGATGAGTTTGGGTGGTTGAAGTTGAAATCCTTCGCAACCAAATTAGGGTTTTTTTTTGCAAACCCATTTGATTTTTATTTCCCCGTCCTGGATTATATGCTCAAAGGGGGAGAAACTCATCCATTGAAGCAGGTTTGGTGTTCAAAGTTCAGACCCTCCCATTGTTGGATGAGTTTGGGTGGTTGAAGTTGAAACCCTTCACAACCAAATTTGGGGTTTTTTGTGGAAACCCATTTGATTTTTATTTCCCCATCATCGATTATGCGTTCAAACTTCAAAGACCATGATTCTAGGGCTTCTTGAACCCCTTTACCAAATTTGGGGTTTCTTCGAAAACCTATCTGATTTTTATTTTCCAGTGCTGGTTTTGATGTTCAAAGCCTAAGGATTCTGGGGGTTCTTGAACCACTTCTTAACCAAATTTGGGATTTCTTAGAAAACCCCTCTGATTTTCATTTTCCTCTCCTGGTTTTAGGGTTAAGCGAGAGGTGCAAGACCATTATTTGGGGGTTCTTCAACCCCTTTGCAACCAAATTTGGTGTTTCTTAGAAAGCCCAATTGATTTTAATTTTCCCCTCCTGGTTATAGAGTTCGAATCACAGTGATTTTGGGGTCTCTTTAACTTTTCAAGATCAGATATGGAGTTTCTTTGAAAATCCATTCGTTTTGTCATTTTCTTGTGCTAGTTTTGGTGTTCAAAGCCCAGCGAGTTTTTAGGCCCTTGAACCCCATCACAACCAGATTGGGATTTCCTTCGTGAACCATGTGGTCAACATTTTCTCTTCCTGGTTTTAGCTCTTAAAGACCGTCGATTTTGGGTGCAAGTGTTTTAAAATGCGGGATGGGGCCAAAAGCGGTGGGGTGGCCGGGGGGGGGGGGCGGATGCGGCCCGAATGCGGGTGCATCGCAACGATGAGGTCAATAAATGTAAAAAAATTCTAAAAAATCTAAAAAAATAGGTTAATGCATAGAAAAAAATATGGAGGTGATATATGTGATAGTAGGTATTTTAGTTTAATGATTAACTTCAAAATTATTAGCTGTCGAAGATTCTGCATCCAGTTATCCACTATCCCCGGATAGAAACTAGAAACTTGAAACTAGCTTTATAAAACATTCAACAATCAACGACCATAAGCACAAATTTGCACCATAAGCACAAAATAGTGACATTACAAACCATAAGTCAAGCTCAAGAAGAGTTAATAGTTAATAACTTAATACAATCATCTATTTTGAGAGTCAATTTCGAAAATTGAAGTCAAATTTTGCCCCTGATTTCTTATCCCAACTTCACCCTACCATCCCCAAATTAACAATCAAAAGCATCAAATCAACATCCAAGTATCAAACAACCGCCAAATCGAAGATTTGAATGAAAAATAAATTTCTCCCAAATTTTTTTTCCTTCGATTTGATGCAAAAAAAGCCACAAAAGTGGCTAGAAATCATCGTTTAGGGGGTTTAATACCCCCCCCCCACCCCCCCCAAAAAAAAACAATTTCCCCTAATTTGGATGTCAAAAAGACCATTTTGCCCCTCCCCAAGGAGCAAAATCGAAAAAACTTCGACGGAAGGGGATGCGGCGCATATGCGGCCGCATAGATCAAAAGCGCATATGTGAGTCAGTTCTGATGCGGAGCCCACCGCATACCACATGATGCGGCCGCATTTTAAAACACTGTTTGGGTGTAAAGGTTATTGATAGAGTTTTGGGTTCTCTTTTAAGGACAGAGAGAAATCATCAGTGAAGGAAGGGAGGAGGGATCCAGAGAGAATTTGAGGTGTTGGGGTAAATAAATTCTTGTGGAAATTCATTTGATTATCTAACAATAAGAAATGGAAATGCCTGCAAGGAATCCATCAATATTCAAATTGCTTGCCAATTTGAAAAAACGGAAATCCAATGAAGGAATCATGGATTTCAAAATCTATGGATTGTTGAAATCCATGAATTTCAATTTACCTCTTACCAAATATCCTCTTATAAATCTACATAGTACTGCTAACAAAATTATCATTTCAGCAATCCAATATCTAGGGTGGATAAGCCAGGAGAATGGAGAGATTGAGGAAGATATCGAACATACAACTAGAGTTGGATGCGCAAGATGGAGAGATTTAGTTCAAATGAAAGGCTCTAAAAAGGCAAGAGGAAGACCCAAAATGACATGGATAGGAGTAATAAAAAAAGATATAGTGACTTTTGGTCTTACAGAGGGTATGGTCCTTGATAGAGAAGAATGGAAGAACAGGATTCATGTAGTCCATAAGGCTTGGATGATGATGATAATAATTGAAGCTTAAACCTCAAGTCTGAATAAGTGCTGAGGACATATCTAACTAATGAAAAGGACATTTTTTCTCCTTGTGAGGCTAATGTCGCTGCTAATTGAGCTTAAGTTTCCTGTCATCGAGGATCCCACACAGCTTATGTGCATGAAACAAGGTGCAAATATAGCATGTAACAATCGATTTATAAACTCACGAGATGAAGCAATCCAGGGAGTGCCATCAACATGTAGAGAGTTGAAGCAGGTTCAGAACTGCTCAGGCATAATTTACCATACAGCGCCAAAAACATCAGCACTTTATAACCATCCAGTAATACTAGAGACCTTAAGTATAGGACCAATAGAACATAGATCAACAAGAGAGGAGGTCCATTACATTTAGGCGTAGATGGAGGTTAGGACATCAAAGAGAGAGTATTAGGGATTAGGGACAGTCACATGAATCCAAAGCAATGGTAGTGCAGGGAGCTGCAAATATGAAGAGCCCAGAAGCCCAAAACAAAATAGTTGCATTTAAATTCAATGCAGACAACATCAAGAGCCCCAAAGGAGGGTTGTTCAACAGGAAAAAAGCAAAGCATCACTTTTTCAAGTACCAGTACTCTCAGCCAGCAGTATTTGGTGGTACATAAATACGATGGACAAGCACCAATTAAATCTTCAGAAATACAGACTCCCATCAAAACTTGCACACCAGAGTCAAGTTAAGACACCAAACTTTCATTTATTTACAAATTTTCAATGGAAAATATAAAAAGTAATCCAAAGAACATAAATAAGAAAACCACATGAAATATACAAAAATTAATACATATAAATATCAAATACATAGATTATTCGTGAATTATGACATCCAAAATTGATGAGTTACATTTAATACATTAATGTTCTATAATGTAAAAATATTGCATGTACATTACCTCATGCATAAAATGATGTATGCACAAAAAGAGCATGTATACTATGTTCCCATGGGAGCATACTATATGTTTACTCCCTCGAGCAAAAGACACTTACTAGGGAGGATTTTTTGTATTTCAAATTTTGGGAACCACCTAAGAATCACTAAATGATTATTTTCAAAAGAAATTTGGTATTTGAGTTGCCTAACACGTAGGTCTTAGTCTTACCCTCCAACAATTGGACGGTCTTTGTTCAATCTAGGGACATTATTTTTTTCGAAGCACATAGAGAGTGTGATTTGCAAACTTCTAATTTATTGTGGTGGTCAGTCAATGGTTTGGACAGGTTATATCCACAAAATTTGGGGTCCCAAAAAGTACTCTTAGATATGGTTTTACCATAGGGAATAAATCCACAATGTAACCCCTCAGGAGCACGAAATCTTTTGGCTACACAAAACACCAATAAATATAAATGGATATTGATTCCATATTGCACTTTCCATACTCGCACAAAGGAATATTTAACTTATTTTTCATCATTAAGCTTTCATAATGTAATCATCAAGTTGCACAAAGAAGTGAGATAAATAGAGATTTCCTTAAAATAGATTAATACTGAATATTTTTAGAATCATCTTTTTAAATTCAAAGACTTCTTTTGGTTCAAAGCTCACTGGATCGACTCAAGGCTTAGTGAGCCAAATCAGTTCATGGATAGGCCTTTTTTTAGTTTGGTGATTGGTTAGCTAAAGCCAAGCATAAGCATTGGAAGGAAGGATCCTTTCCAATACTTTATGCAACCGAAAAGGGCGTTAAGTGGGGATGCTCTAGTTGAACCACATGAGGGTCAATAGCTAGAGGTCTCAGGTTGGAAACTGTAGTATATCTTTATAAACAAGTAT